TTTCTTTCTTTCTTTCTTTCTTTCTTTCTTTCTTTCTTTCTTTCTTTCTTTCTCAACTTGACAGATGCTGGAGTCATCTGGGAAGAGGGAACTTCAGTTGAAAAAAATGCCTCTGGCAGACTGGCCTGAAGGCAAGCCTGTGAAACAGTTTTTGATTAATGATTGATGTGGGAAGGTCCAGCCCACTGTGGGTGGTGCCACCCCTGGGCAGGTTAAGCAAGTCATGGGGAGCAAGCCAGTAAACAGCGTTTTTTCCATGGTTTCTGCTTTAATTCTTCCTGTCAAATTTGTGCCTTGGCTTCCTCTGATGGAGGACTGTAACTTGTATGCCAAATAAACCCTTCTTTCCCCAAACTATTTTTGACTAATGTTTTTATCACAGCAATAGAATCCTGAGTAAAACACAATGAAACTGCTAAGCCATTTAAAATTATATTTTGATCTTTTATTAGGTTTTTTTTTGTTTGTTTGTTTAATGTGTGTCACAGTGCGAGAGCAGTGATCAGAGGGACTATTTGCAGGAGTCTCATGATCGTTCTGGGGATCCAACTCAGGTGGTCAGACTTGGCAGCAAGAGCCTTTACTGGCTGAGCCATCTTGCCAACCCAAAACTGGCCAAATCTAACACATGTTATACAGCTACCATGTATCTGCACGTAAAAAGATTTGAACATTTTCACTGTAAAGAAAGGAAAGGCGGGCATAGTATCCCATATCTGTAATCCTAGCTCTTGGGGAGCCGAGGCAGGAGGATAACTGAGAGTTCCAGGCCAGCCTGGGTTACGTAGCGAGCTACAGGCTAGTCCAAGATACAGAGTGAGACTCTACCTCAAAACAAAAACAGACACAAGAAGAAAGAATAGCAGCAAAATTCACACAAAACAAAATCCCATGAAGCTGGCAGCTGCTTTCAGGACAGGCTCTGGATTATAGCACCACAGAATTTGACATCCGTAGCTGCAGACTCACAGAGACCCGAAATACATACTTGAAGAGGCAAAGCTGGGCCAGTGAGATGATTCCCAGGGAAATGGCACTTGCTGCCAAGGCTGACAAACCTGAGTTAGGGCTCCAAAACCCACATGGGGGACAGAGAGAGGGAGCAGGAGAGGGGGAAGAGGAGAGAGGGAAAAAGAGGGAGGGAGGGAGATGGAGGGAGGGAGATGGAGGGAGGGAGGGAGATGGAGGGAGGGAGAGAGGGAGAGAGAAACGGAGAGAGAGAGAGAACAAGAACTGATGCCCTCAAGTTGTCCCCTGACCTCCACATGTGGCCACAGCATGAACATTCACACACACAATAAATGTGAAAAGAATTTAAAAAGGTAGGTACCAAAAGAAAGGAAGAAAAAAAGAAAGAGAAAGAAAGAAATAGGTACCAAATCTCAGAATAACAATATATGCTTAGAAAAAGACTTTTGCTCAGAAAAAGTCTTCTGAGTCAGGGGTCTTGCTACTTGAGATCCTCCTGCCTCAGCATCCCAGGTGCTGGGATTACAGATGGTACCCAATGTGCCTAGAATCTTGGAGTCATAGAGCACAGTCCTGGAGGTGGGCTGAGAGGCCAGGAAAGCTCTTGTTATTTGCCTCTGGGATTTACAAGCTTACGGAAAATTCCAAACAGAACCAAGGATAGACAGCCCGGCAGTGGCAGCCAACACTTGCCAGGCATTTTCTGAAAAGTTTTGTATGGCAGCTGAGCCTGGTAGCTTATGCCTGTAACCCAGAGCTTTCAAAGCTAAGACAGAAAGATCCACCCTGAGTTTGAGGCAACATAGGGATTCCAGGCCAGCCTGGGCTACAGAGTGAGACCTTGTGTCAAAATAAAGTAATAAAAATATAAAAATAATAAACTAAGAATGGGATCAACCTTTGAAAGAAGCTTCCTGAGAATCATGGCTTCTTTTGAAATGTCTGCAAGATGTGGAAATGGTTTGTGCTCCCCAAGAAGAAGAACTGGGGGAGACTGATCATGGGCATTCTTGTTCCTGTTAAGAGGGCTAGCCCTTTAGAGGGACACAGCCCTTAATGCTTTTTAGTCCCTTCCTGAATCTTGAAAATATTTGAACGTGTAGACCCTGGTTGGCTGTAGCTGCTGTGCCATAACAAGAGAGAAATGGAGGCCTGCAGAAGCGAAGGCAAACACACCTAATGCAGCACGTCTGAAGTAGAAAAGAGATGGATGGAGGTCCTGATTAAAACAAGTCCTGAAACGGGTCAGAGAGGAGGCTCAGTGGGTTAAAGTGCTTGCTTCGCCTGGCCTGACTACTTGAGTGTTATCCCTGGAACCCACGTGGTGGAAAGAGAAAACAAACTCCCACAAGATGCCCTCTGACCTACACACACACACATGCACATGTACACACACGCATGCTATATGGAAGGAACTGCCGTAACAGGATTGAGGCTGTAGATCAGTTGGTAGATTTCATTCTTAGCATGCACGAAGTTCTGGACTGAATTTCCAGCACTATTTAGACAGGATATGGGGGTGCACATTTGTAAGCCCAGCACTCAGGAGGTGGTTGATGGTCGTATTGGCTAACTAGTGAATCTGAGGCCAACCTTAATTTCCAAAAACTGCCCTATGTTCAAAAAAGAAAAAAAGAAGGTTTCTGAGATGACTCAGTGGAATCATCAAGGATGGATTTTGAATCTCCAGCACTGCCCTAAAAGGCAGACCGAGGGAGACACCGACGTAACTTTGGCAGCCCCCCACGCATATGCACATGTGTGTGTGCACCTGTACACATGTGAACACTAATTCATATACACAAGCACATTACACAATGTGCTAAAAAGCAAAAGGGAAAAAAGCTACGTATGGTGTCTCTGACCTCTAATCCTAGCACACAGAAGCCTGAGGCAGTATGAGTTTGAGGCTAGTGTTGGCTACAGTATGGCCTTCTCTCAAAACAAAAGCCAGAGCAGCTACCATTTGTTCTTGAAGGGGAGAGTAGAGTCTTGTTATGTAGCTCAAATATCCTGAATCTTCCTCCATCTTTCTGGCTCCCCCACCCCAATGCCAGATTACAATGGACCACCATGCCCAGTGCATTTTGTTAGAACTTTCTATGCACTAGGCATTCACACTAAATGCTTTTCACACACCAATGTGTTAACCACCATTCACAAATCTATACCATGATAAATCTCATTTTACAAATGTGGAAAACCAAGCAAGGAGCAGTCACAATCTTGTCATCTGCTCAGGGTCACAAAACTAGTAAGGAAGAACTGAGGATTCAACTTAAATGTGACTCCACAGCCTGGGTCTCCAGCCATGCACTTTTTCATTGAAGCCTCGGAATGACAAGATTAAGGATAGATCCTGGTTTTGAAATCTTCTGATTGTCCTGTGTGGGTGCAAGTCCTAAATTGTACTGATTCCATTTCCCACGCAACTCGATGAATCCCCACTCCCTTATGACCACCACTAAAGCGGAGGAAAGGGGCCATGTCCTGTCTCTCTAAGCTGTGTAGAATTCACCCTCTGTTGGATGTGAAAGCATTTTGGAGAGACCTGGCTGGGCGCTAGGAGCCCAGCGTCTTCAGCACCAAGGACAGCAGCTGTGCACACGAAGCCTCAGGCCGGCAACATTTTTTTTTTTTTTTGGTGGGCAGCGGTCACTAGGAACGTGTTCCTATAGGGCTCTCCGCCCACTATGTCCCAGAGGATTTGGGAGAATTCAGGTCTATGTCTCTTCAATACCAGAGTTGAAGAATCCCAGCATCTTAAAACAAAGCCTTTGCTTTCTAGATGGACTTGAAGCTCTCGTTGGCGCCCTACTAGCCGGCGTTGTACTTTTTTCCTTTGTGTCAAGAGCTCCGTGTATACGGGGGTGAAGGGAAAACCCGGAGCGCTAGTATCTATCCCTGCGTTCCTCCTCTCACCCCCTCCCCCGGCTGGGTCGGGGTCTCAAAAAGCAAAAACAAACGAAAAACCCAAGACCGCAAATCAGTTTTATCCTAAAAGCCCACTGGTCCCAGGAGCCATATCGTCATGGCAACTGGAGAGGCTCAGGAAACGATTGGTCCGCTCTCTGCCACACCCCTTACACCACCGTTTCCTGGTAACTAAGGCAACCAAGAGGCTGCCTTCTCGTCTCTATCCTTTCTAGACGAGTGGGTAGGACGGGGACCGGCTCCTCTCTTTCGCTAAGTAAAGCACTACATCCCCATAATGGGTATTATGGAGGAGGAAGATAAAGAGGCTGTTTCTAAAATTCTGGAGAGGTTGGGCTGTCACTGAAGTCACTTCCGGTGAACACAGGAAGTAGGAGGCAGGTTGCTTTGAGAGACAAGGGTGGAAAGGAAAGGAGCTGGAGTGTCTCCGGAAGGATGGATGAATGGGAGTGCCAGCCTCGATCTCAGCCCACTCCTAGGAGTAGAGAGCCCTTTCTAGACTATTAGAGCTGACTTCCGAGTATTAACCACTAGCAGGCAGGCATTTGACAAACGTTATCAGATCTTTAACAAAACCTCACCAGCCTTACAGAAACCCACTGTCATTTCCCAGCTGACCTGCTTGGCTCTGTCGGGGTTCATCGTGGTTTGGGGTTGAAGAATGTTGACCACCTCGGGCTTGGTCATCGCTTGAGGGATTTCTCGGACCTTCTCTGCGATAAAGCTGTGAACGGCATTCAAGGCCTCTGCCGTGCCCTGTACTAGGCATACCCGTTCTGTAGTTCCTGTTTAGCAAGGGACAGAGGGGGACACACACATCAGACAGCAATGGAGACATGCCTGACAGACTGGCCCCATTTCATGGAAGGGGAAAGCCAAAGATTGGGGAGTGAGTTTGGGTCAGTTGATGTGGGTGACTGGTCCATCCATGGTGGGTAGCTAGTTGGGAGAATGAATGGAATCCCTGTTTTATAATCTGTACTTACCTCCCTCCCCTAAAACAACCCTGGGGGGATGGAAGAATGATGCTTAAGTGCCCACAGCAGCCCTGGGCACGGGAGGTAGGGCTCAGCTGCCTCTTCCCAGTTCTTGTGGGCTCCCCCTGGTTGCTGTGGCAACCATTCACTCGCCACTCACCCCCCCCCCCCCTTCCAGAAGTGGAGAGCTTAGGCCCGAAACGGTTGCCACAGTAACTGGAACCCCCTTATCGGTCTGCCTGGCCGGGTCCTTAGCCCACCCCCAGGGGGATGAGGGATGAGGCTCGGTTGCCATGGCAACCGCTGAAAGCCTACAGCGCCTGGCCTCTGGGCTTTTGGAGAGGATGAGGAGAAGGTTGGGGGATGGGAAAGGCAGAAGAGAGGCCAGAGTACAGCCTAGACCCACCAGATGGAGGTCTGGGGGGTGGGGGAGGGCAGGGGTGTGGCTAGGGGAAGAGCAGGGGAGGTCAAAGGCAGCTCTTAGAGAATGGGAGACTAGGAATAGAGGGTGGGGTAGCCAGTTTCCCGTTCTGGAGATCCTCCGGGTACTGGCTGCAGGTCTGACCTGGCATTCTCTGTATGTGTACATTGTGGAAGGGGATGAGAGAAGCTGGGTGATGCTGAAATGTATGCGTGAGGGAGAAAGACTCCGGGTGACACTGCGATCTGCGTGTGCACCTGTGAGGCTGCTTGTGGGCAGCTATGCGAGTATCTGTACACTTGGGCAGGGCTGGAAAGATGACCATATTGGGTATGTATCTAAGCAAAAAACCAGAAGAGATTGCAATAGAAACATACTGTGTACTGAGGGTATAGTTTAACAGTAGAGCACCTGTCTAGAATCCCCCAGTGAGGGGCTGGGGGTGTGACTCAGTGGTGGAGCCCCTGCCTAGAATCACCAATAGGGTTGTGGTTGTAACTCAGTCAGGTACTTGCCTAGTATGCACAAGGTCCTGGATTAAATCCCCAGCACCACACACACACCCCAAAACAGGTGATATAACACGACTGGAGTAACAAGGTTTGGAGCTGGAAGACTTGAGCATGCATGCCACCGAGGCTGTGCAGTGATGGAACCCTGTCCATTGGCAGTGTGCGTCTGCAACTGTGGAAGCAAGACAAAAAGGCAGCGTACATGCCTCTAGGTGTTCCCAAGTTGTCTGGGTGATGAGCGTGTGGTGCAAAAATATTTGTACACACACACACACACACACACACACACACACATGTCTGTCACCATCCTTTCATTGGCTGTGTGGATATGAGGACACAGGCAGACTTAAGCGACTGTATGAGGCTGTCTGGATGGCAGGTGTACTGGTGTGCCCATCTCCAAGTGTGTGCATCACAGACAAAGAACTCTCAGCCATGCCTGATCCGTGAGAGAATATGAGTGCATTGCTGTGCCTGGGCCTCACTAATGTGGTGTGCGAATGTCTCTGTTCCCAGGAGGGACTCGGTTTGTACAGTCAGCTCCCTGGGTCTGTAAAAGGTTTTTGAATGTGTGCCAGGCCCTGTGCCTATGTGTCTGGGACACTTAGTGCTGAGTGTCATTGTCTGTGGAGCACTTCAGTGCAGTGTGCTCATTGTCCAAGCTTGACCTGCCCCTTGCTACCTCTCCGCCTGGCTCTTCAAATCCGCCATGTGTCTGGGGTGTCTCTGTCTGTTGGCCAATCGTGATGCTGAAAACCCATACCCTTGCCCTTGTCAACATAGTCCTCGCTTTTATGTCCCCCTCCACCCAAGAACAATAGCTTGGTGTGGGCCAAGGGTGAGTCAGCTGTAGGCTGCCTCTGTCTGGGTGTAAATAGGAAAGGGTGTGGGTTGGGCTGGGAATGAGGGTTGGCGGGGCGGGGGGGGGGGAACCCCAGGGATAGTGTGAGAGAAGTGGTCAGGGTTACCATCTCTGTATGGCTTCCTTCCAACTCAGGAAGTCTGTGTGCATCTATCTCCGTGTACTTCTTACACTGGGGTTTACAGGAATTTGGTAAGGGGGACCCTGCTACGTCCTGAAAAAAAGTGTCCTATAATAACAGCTGGTGGTTACATAACACTCGGCGCCAGGTCCTGTTCTGAGGACATGCTGCTTGTTCACTTGACATATGAGCCAGGCCATGTCTTGGCTGCCTTGATGTCCTGCTAAGGACACTGAGAGGTCTCTGGTCTTGTCCCAGATCACCCAGGCAGCACAGAATCATTACAGCTTGTGTGTGCGTGTGTCTGTGTGTGTGCGGGGCCGGGGGGTTCAGGGGACAACCTCTGATGTTGGATGGCCCTCACCTTTCACTGTATTTGAGATGGGGTGTCTTGGTCCCCCCATGTATGTAGTAGGCCAGACTAACTCTCCCATAAGCATTTGGAGGTTCTCCTATCTCTGCATTGGGATGACAAGACATACCCTCCTGCACTCTGCTTTCCGTGGGTCCTGGGATTTGAACTCAGGTACCCATATTTGCATGGCCAGTGCTTTGCCAGCTCAGCTGTTTCCCCAGGTCCGTCATCAGGCATTTTGAACACAGTTGTCTGGCTTCAGAGTTCAGAGTCTGTTTTTTGTTTGTTTGTTTGTTTTCCCCTTCAGTTTTGACGCAGTGTCTTTCTGTGTAGTCCAGATTGGCCACGAATCTGCCATCCTCCTGCCTCAGTTTACCAAGTACTGAAGTGCCACTATACCTAGTATAGGTTCTGTGCTCTTAGTCCTAATCCAGCCAGTGCTAAATTTGGGATTCTTTGAGTTGTCTTCTGATTCTAAATTCCCATGTGTTACAGATATACACCACCATGCCTGGTGTGTGCATGTGTGTCTATGTGTGCGTGCACACATGTGAGAATGAGCAACAGGATGACATACACAACAAAAGCTTTGCTTCTGTTTTCTATTTGTTTAAAAACACTTAGTGTTTTGTTTAGACGTGTGTGTGTGTGTGTGTGTGTGTGTGTGTGTGTGCACTAGAAGAGAGGGTCACATCCCCTGGAACTGGAGGAATAGGTAAGTGTTTGTGAGTCCCCTGATGTGGGTGCTGGGAACTGAACTCAGGTCCTCTGAAAGAACAGCAAGCACTCTTAACTGCTGAGCCATCTCTCCAGCCCTGGAGATTTGCTTTTAATGATTTATTTTTTTTATTATTTATTTATTATGTATAGTGTTCTGTCCGCATATATGCCTGCAGGCCATAAGAAGGCACCAGATCTCATTATGGATGCATGTGGTTGCTGGGAATTGAATTCATGACCTTTGGAAGAGCAGACAGTGTTCTTAACCTCTGAGCCATCTCTCCAGACCCCCTCCTTTTATTTTATGTGTATGAGTCCTGGCCTGCATGCATGTTTGTTCCTTCAGTGCTCATGGAGGCCAGAAGAGGGCATCATATGCCAGAGAATGGGAATTACAGAGGGTTGTGAACCACCATGTGGGATGCTGGGAACTAAACCTGGTTCCTCTGGAAAAACAGCCAATGCTCTTAATCAGTCAGTCATCTCTACAGCTTTGAAGCTTTGCTTTTAATGTTAAGGAAGAATAAGAATGACATCATTTAGTAAACATTTCAGATTTTACACTTTGGGGCTGGGGATGTTGCTCAGTGTTAGAGGACCTGACTAGTTACCCTGAGGCCTGGGTTTAATTCTTAGAACTGTAAAAAAAAAAAAAGATAGAAAAAAAAGACTTTAACATTGTACATTTAGAGCCTGGTGTTGGTGATGCACACCTTTGCTTATAATCCCAGCACTTGGGAGACAGAGGCAGGTGGATCTCTGCGAGTTGAGTTCGAAGCCAGCCTGTTCTACAGAGCCAGTTTCAGGATAGTGAGGGCTACATAGAGAAACCCTGTCTCAAAAAAACAAAAAAAAATACACTTTGGTGCAGCTATGTTATAAATCAATAATAATTATGAGGATCGCCACATTTGTGTTTGTGCTTTGCTCCTGGGAGTAGAATTCAGAGATTTTTACCGACACCCCAACTCTGAAGGCGTTTTAGCTTAATGAGAGAAGTGGTGTGGTCAGGAGTCTTTGAGGCCTTGGGTCAGTATTTATTGCCTTCTGGTTCTCCACTTCATCATGAAAGACCGAAAACGATTGAATTTGAAATTCTGGGCTCCATTACTAAGATGAGGCACCTTTTGTGTGTTCTGACCCCTTCTCTTTGGGGTTAAAGGCTGGGTAGGTTTTAGGGTTAAAGGCTGGGTAGGTTTTAGGTTTAGCTTTGTGACACAGACAAGTGTGTGTGTGTGTGTGTGTGTGTGTGTGTGTGTGTTTGAGAGAGAGAGAGAGAGAGAGAGAGAGAGAGAGAGAGAGAGAGAGAAAGAAAACCTTAGTCCCACACTGGCTTTTGGTTTTTGTTATTGGGGATTGAACCCCTGCAGCACCTTGTATATTCTTGGAAAGTGCCTCTACCACTGAGCCACACCCCAGCCCCTCACTGGGGGATTCTAGGCAGGGGCTCTACCACTGAGCCACACCCCAGCCCCTCACTGGTGGATTTGAGACAGGCTCTTTGACTCTAAGCCATACCCTAGTCCTCTTTTTTAAAACATTGACACAGGATCTTGCTAAGTTACCAATGCAGGCCTTAAACCTGTGATCCTCCTATTCCAGCCTTCTGAGTGGTTGGAAGCACTGGCCCATGCTGTCATGCCTAACCTAATTGTACACTGCCACACTGTTCTCTCCTACAGCAGACATCCCTCGGCATTTGTCGTATGGCCCTTGTGGGGTCCCTTCTGTATTCATTCCTAGCTCACCTGAAGTTGCTATTGTAGGTTACTACTCTGAGAAATCCATCTGGCCTCCCTGGTCTGGGTCAAACACTCTGTCTCATTGCCAAGCTCTCTCTGCCCTTCCTAGTCTAGCCCTGGCCACTCTGGGTCATCATCAGTGAGGGTTCTGTCTCCCTGGCTCGAGATCCAAGAGAACAAGAATTCCCTTATTGTTGTGTCCATATGTCTGTCCAACCTGGTCATAGAGGAGGAGAGTGTGTGCTGAATGACTGAATGAAAAGATGTCAGTCAGGAGGTCTCGGGAATGCACCCCGGACTCATGCAGAAATAATAGTTCTGGGTTCCTAGGGATAGAAGCAGGGTGGGGTTGGGAGGCACTGAAACTCCTGGATTGTTCAGGTCAGGAGTTGGTGGTCTGTTATGAGATGGGGACAGACGTGGCTCACATGGGCTTGGCCATGGACAAAGTATGTGGTATCAAGGACTGTCCTATCTTTTGGGGTGTCTCAGCAGCCTGGCCCTGGGGTGAAGTACTGAGTTGGGAGGAGGGAATGTCACCATCTCATAGCACAGAATGTAATGCAGAGGCAAGGAGCCAAATGTCCTCAGACAGATGTCCCAGGCAGAGAGGTCTCACCCACATGGTGTGGGCTAGAAGGGCAAAGAGAAAACTGGGCCAGGATGGTGGAGGAAAGGAGGTGGCGGCACCTGGGTCACTAGATTTTTCTCTAAACTCTTGGTCAAAGCAGCTTAGTGAGATGGGAGGCGGGGAGGGAAGGGAGGAGGGCAGGGAAAAGGGGAAGATAGAGGAAATGGGGGGAGGGGGGCGGAGAGAAAGAGAAGAGAGAGGGAGGGAAAGAGAGCAAGTACAGTATGAAAGGGAGGGATGGGAGAGAGCGAGCATGGGAGAAAAGAGGAGAGGGAGAAGGGGAAAATGGAAGGATGGGAGAAGAGGGGAGGATAGAGAGAAAGGGAGGAGGGGAGAGGATAAAAGTGAGGAGAGGGAGGGAGGAAGGTGAAGGGGGAGAAGGGGAAGAGAACTAGGGAAAGGGAGGGTTGGAAAGAGAGAGAAAGGGAGGGAGGGAGGGAAGGAGAGAGGAGGGAGAAAAGGGGAAGCAGAGAGGAGAGAGAGAGAGAGAGAGAGAGAGAGAGAGAGAGAGAGAGAGAGATCCAGATCCTGTGCTACATTTCTGGTGTCTGACCTAAAAAGATGCTAGAGGATTACGGATGAACTAGAACGGCGGGCAGTGTGCTAGAGCAACTCTCTGGCCTTCCTGGGATTCCTAGAGGCCAAAGCTCAGGCTCTGCCCTTGGGAGGGAGCAATGGAGAGTGAGAGACCTTGAAGGGTCTTACAGAGGGCAGAGGGTTGTTCAAACACGTGTGGTTGGGGGCTGGGGACGTAGCTCAGTGGTAGAGTCAGAGCCTAGCTTTCAGCAAGCCTTGGTTTGATCCCCAGCACTGCACATGTTTCACACAAGGACAACAGAGCCTGCAATCCTAGCACGAGGGGTGTGAAAGCAGGAGGGTCAGGAGTTCAAGGTCATCCTTGTTGTGTGGTGTGCTGTGCGTGAGGCCAGTCAGTGCTTCCTAAAACAAAACAAACAAAACAAAACAAAACAAAACAAAAACAAAGTGGTTGAGAGAGACCCAGATGGAGTCTAAGGAGAGGCAGGGAATGGACTGGGCTGAAGTCAGTGAAGAGAAGAAGAGCCATGGGAAGCTGAGGATAGACACCCAAAGGGAGGCAGAGACAAGCAAACAGAGGCAGAAGCCAGGGAGCACTGGCCTCACTGAGGAGTGCTGCTAAGTGGGCTCAAATGAAGTTCTGAAGCAGGGTGGGGTGGGTGGTGAGATACTTGGAAGGGAAACAGAGGGAGATGAGGGACAGAAAGAGATGGCAGACAGAAGGACAAACAGATGGACCAGAGAAGACAGGAGACGGGGATACCCAGACAGATCCCTAGAGACAAGAACAGAGAGAGGGGCAGGACGAAGCAGAGAGAGGCAGAAGGGCATAAAAGATGGGATGGGCAGAAACAGCTGTGTGAGAAGCATCAGGCAGGGCATGGTGGCGGGTGTGTCTGCGATCCCAGCACTGGGCGGTAGGGGAAGGACTGGAGGTTACAGGCCGGAATGGGCTACAGGGTAAGACAGTCTCTTTTTCAAAATGCCCCAAGAAAATAAACCAGGTACGGGGCACATATCTGTAATCCTAGCACGTATGATGAGTTCAAGGTCAGTTTTGGCTACACAAGGAAGTTCTAGGCCAGCCTGGGCTATATGAAGCACTATATCAATGGAAAAAGAAAAATGAAAGAAAAGAAAAAAATAAAAAAGTGCCCCCTGTTCAAAACAACTCAGAGGAGACTAAATTGGATGCAAGTTAGGGTAACAGGTCCAAATGGACAGAGGGGTATGAGTAATTCGGATGGCTGCCCCAGCCGCCCCCCCCCACCTGCCATCCTCCCCACCCTGGCTGCTCCAACTGACCGGAGGCGGCAGGTGTGTGGGAAGGGACACAACTGCCTGACATAATGCAAATGAGGTCATGAATATGCAGCAGCTCATTGTCTGGCCCTGCCCCCACCCCCATCTGCTCAGGCCAGGCCCCTTGGGTTGCAGGCAACTCAGACTTTTTATGGGGAGGAAAGGCAGGCCCCTTCCATTACTCTAACTATCTCTAACGCAACCTTCCTCACACCCAGGCCTCAGGAAAGTGGAGAGGAGAGAGGTCTAGCTCAGGTAACTGGTGTGTCTGGGGCTTACCTGGGTAGAAGTCTTTGGACTTAGATAGCTTGATGGTGGCTCCCGTCTCCTTCTGCAGCTGCACGATAGTCTGGCCACCTTTGCCAATGATGGAGCCGGCTGCGTAGCTGGGGATGAGCACCTTCAGGAAGTACTCGCCTTCCTCTGCAAGGCATACAGGGTGGGAGGAAGGGAGAAAGTGAGGGAGGGAGGGAAGAGTCCCATTTTAGGAAGGCACCTCCAGGAAGACCCCAGCATGGGCCCCACAAAGGAAATCACAATGATCATGACAACAGCAGTGAGAAAGACAGCATAGAACCATCTTCGCTCATTCAATCTTTTTTTTTTCTTCTTTGCAACCAAGTTTTTCTGTGTAGCCCTGGCAGGTCTGGAACACACTCTGTAGACCAGGCTGGTCTCAAGATCACAGAGATCCGCCTGCATCTGTCTCCCTAGTGCTGAGATTAAAGGTATGCACCACCATGCTTGACCCACATTCAATTTATTTTTTTGAGACAGACTCTCACATAGGCCAGGCTGGGCTCAAATTAAGTAGCTGAGGATGGCCTTCTAATTCCAAGTCTACGTCTCCCAAGTACTGGGATCACAGGAGTGCACCATGATACCTTATTCGCACGGTGCTGGGGATGGAACTCACGGCCTCAGGCCTGCCAGGCGAGCACTCTGTCAACTAAGGCACGTCCCCAGGACTCATTCATTCATTCAACAATGGCTGAGCACCTGCTTGTGTACATACTTGGCATGAGTGTGTGGAAACAGCCATGAAGGAAACAGCAAATCTCCCCGCATTTTGTGTGCAAATAAGGCCATAAGAATTTGAGTAATCCAAGCTTGAGCTCAGACAATTATATTCTTCTAGAGAGCAGAGACTCGATAGTTCATGCAGGATGGGAGGAAGTCATATGAGCAAAAAGAAGCAGGAAAAGGGGTGGGGAGGGCAGAGGAGTGCAAGATCAGAGATGAAGGCCAGGAAAGGCCTTTTTTCAAAATACATATTCATAACGCTATCACACACTTACTGTTTTAGGGTACTGGGTATTAAATTGAGGGTCTCTTGCAAGTACTTTATTATTAAACCACACTCCCAGCCCCTCACTGGGGGATTCTAGGCAGGGGCTCTACCACTGAGCTGTGCCCCAGTCCCCTTTAAAATGTTTGGGACAGGGTCTCACCAAGTTGCCTAAGGCTGGTTTTGAACTCACTCTGTAACCTATGTTACCACTTGACTTGGGGATTGACTGAGACGACAGTCCTCTGGCCATCAGACCCAGTCTGAGTAGGCATATTTCCTCTTCCCTCATCTGCAGCACCTGCCAAACAATTCCACTGGAAGTACTTCACAAACATCAGTTATTTTAATTCTCACACTGGCCCTGTAAAGAAACCCATTCTACAGATGAAGAAATGAGGTTAATAGGAATCATCCCGGAGTCACTGAGCTGGGTAGGTGCAGAGCTGGAATGTAAACTCAGCCTGGCTCTGGAGTCCATGTCCTGGGCTATTATTACTGAGGTACAAGAGAGGAGGTGAGCCATACGTCAAAAGGGATGGTACATGAGTCCTTAGGAAAATCAAGGAGGCGATGGGTTAGGTGGGAGGGAAGAGGGAAGAGGGAGCTGGTGCAGTGGGAAGCTTGTGAGCCACGGTAATGCCTTTGGCTCTTACTCCAAGCAGGATGGGAGAATCAAGGGGGTGTGAACTAATTTAGGATTTGAGAACATTTCTCTGGGACCAGCAAGATGGCTCAGTGGCAAAAGGAGCTTGCTGCCAAGTCTGATGACTTCAGTTCAATTCCCAGGACATACATTGTGGAAGGAGAGAAAGTGACTCCTGCAAGCTGCTCTCTGTGCGTGTGCATGCACGTGCACACACACAGAGGTAAAGAAATAAGCAAAAACATGATTTTGAGACAGTGTCTCTCTATTACAAAGCCCTAGCTGTCCTGGAAACCACTGTGTAGACCAGGCTCATAGACATCCAACTGCATCTCTCTCCTAAGTTCTGGGATTAAGGCATGTGCCACCATGCCTGGCTTTGGGCTACGGAAACAGCAGAGTGCTTTGCCTAGCATGCCTGAAGCCTTAGGCTTGACCCCCAGTATCACAGAAATCAAGTGTAGTGTTGCACACCTGTGATCCCAGCACCTGCGAGACAGAGGCAGGAGGTCAGGGTTCTCCACGGCTACACAGTGTGTTCGGGGTCAGCCTTTGCTATGAGACCCCATCTCAAAAAACAAGACAAAATAAGAATATTCCTCTGATGCCAGTGACAGGAACACACTGCAAGGGCAGGGGTGAAGGAGGCAGTGTTACCAGAGGTGAGGGACACTGGACTGACTTAGGGAGCAACGACGGAGGAAATGGACGAGGGCTGGACTGAGGATTCTCACTTCGTACATGGTTGGGGGAATGCATACATGTTTGCGGTGTGTCTGCGCGTATGCAGTGACAGGAGACTAGCACGGGATGCTGTCGTTTTTTGACAGAGGCCTCATTGGTTTGAAACTCGTTGTGTGGGCTAAGCTTACCTTATACAGACCAGAGAACAACAGTGGGAGTCTGTTCTCTCCTCTCACTGTGGGGAACCCGGAGAACTGAACTAACATCAGGCTTGACAGCAAGCATCTTTACCTGCTAGGCCATTTCCCCCCTCTGTGTAGCCCTGGCTATCCCGATCTCGCTTTGTAGACCAGCCTGGTCTTGAACTCAGAAATCCATCTGTCTCTGCCTCCCAAGTTCTGGGATTAATTGGCTCCTGCTAAATCATCTTGCTGACCTCTGGGCATTCATTTTTAGAGACCAATGTCCTTGGTAATGTAGTCATGCATAAAACATCTAGTTACCACATCCTTAAGGCAAATCTCTAACCTAACTCTCAACTTCTAAACTGTCAGCCCAGGCGCTACAGCCTTTGCAGTGGGAGGCCTTTGGTGACACACCCTGCTATTCAACTTTGCTTCCCATCACCCATGGGCACCAGATTCACTATTCTTTTACTTCTTCAAATATTACCTGCTCCTTCCCACCCCAAGGCCTTTGCAGATGTCCTCTGCCTGGCACTTCCTCTCTACCTTGTCAACTGGGGGCTCCACTGCAACGCTACTTATTCTCACAACCTTTCCTGGAACACTGAGAAGGAAGAGTGCCCCCCCCACCTTGCTTCATATACCCAGAGCCCTCTGTCAGACAGGGCCAACATGAACCACATCAACGGAGCACACCTCTGTGTCCCTTGCACCGTGTAACAGCACACAGTAGACTGGGGATAAAAGTGGGAAAAGAAAGGGAGCTGGGCCATTCTGTTTCCAAGGCTTAAGAGCTTTACTTGTTCCCCAGGGATTTCAACTTTTTCTTTTAAGTATAGGATGTCTAATTTTACCATCAAACATGAAACCCCAACTGGTAGTATGGTGAGCAAAGTTGCCTCCCAGAGCAGATAAAAGAACTGTTATTTGTAGTTGGGAGGTGTGGCTCAGTGGTAGAGCCCCTGCCCAGAATCCCTTAGTGAGGGCTGTGGGTGTGGCTCAGTGGTAGAGCCCCTGACTAGAATCCCCCAGTGAGGGGTTTGGGGTGTGGCTCAGTGGTAGAGTCCCTGTCTAGAATCCCCCAGTGAGGGGCTGGGGCGTGGCTCATGACTCAGAGACTTGCCTAGAATACATCAGTGTGGAGCATCTGCCTACCATGTTCCAGGTCCTGAATTCCACCCCTAGCGTTGCACAAACTATAGAAAGCTGACCTGGATGGGTAGGTGTTAAATTCTTTCCTCCTCAGCATGGGTCCTTCAGAGTGAGGGTTCTGGGTTCCTAATACGTTTTGTATAGTGGTGTGGGGTACAGTGGCTGGACTTAGCCTTCTAAGCATAAGGAGGAAGTCAAGAATAAATGGGTTTTATTGAGCCCAAGGCAATCCTCTTAAAACGGCCTAATCAGACCATTAAGCCTATTAGGTAATTAACCTCCCCCCTCCTCAGCCCAGGGAAACTTCTCATCCATCATTGGACCCCTGCTCAATTCACTTTCTTTCTTTTATCGCCCCCCCCTTACTTTTTTTTGATGCAGCTTAGCCTTGTATCCTAGGCTGGCCTCAAATTCATAATCCTCCTGCCTCAGTCACTCAGGTGCTGCATTGACAGGCTACATCATGATGACAATCTCTTCTGGGTTCCCTTTGGATGCTCTCAAGTCTCTATCATCTCTGAAAGCTGGGCCCTCCACACCTCATTCCCTCTGTCCTGGATTCCCTCAAGCTCCAGCTGGGGACTTCCATACAGAGCAGGCAGGCAATCCCAAGTGAGCTGTGAATTTTGTTATTGAAAGTCTGGATGGCAGCTGGGTGGTGGTGGCGCACGCCTTTAATTCCAGCACTCAGGAGGCAGACACAGGCAGATCTCTGTGAGTTTGAGGCCAGCCTGGTCTACAAAGCGAGTTTCATGCTAGGCTCCAAAGCTACACAGAGAAACCTGTCTTTAAAAACCAAAAAAAAAAAAAAAAAAAAAAAAAAAAAAGGAAGTCTGGATGGGTTTGGATACTTCATCCCATTTCTTTTCTGGCCTTAGTTTCCTAACAGTAAAAATGGGGACACAGCAGCACCGAGTCTCACTTAACAATGAACCGGAAAGTAGCTAGAATGTTCTGGGCACACAGCACTTACACACACCATATGCCACCTATCATCACTACCGGTCGCTGTCTATTTGTTTTTGAGACTGGCTGTCCGTCCTGGAACTCACTCTGTAAACCAGCACTCCAACTCACAGAGATCCTCCTGCCTCTGTCTCGGGAGTGCTGGGTCTCTATCTAGTTCAGGATAGCCTTGAACTCCTGAGCCTCCTGCCTCATCCTTCCAAGAGCTTGTAGTAAAGTCCTGTTCAGTGCTTAGCACAGAATGGGTGCTCTCTGGGTTGAAAACAAGTGCTTAAAGTTGGGGGGTTTTGTTGGGAGGCAGGAGAAAGAGGGGGGAACTCTGTGTTCCTTATCATCTTGTCTGCCCAAACTGTGCCCCACTTTTTGAAAGAGAAATGATTTCTTTTAGCCCACCCTATGTATGTAAGTATGTATGTATGTATGTATGTAGCACACATAAAGATCAGAGAATAATCTGTGGCGGCCAGTTCTTTCCCTCTACTTAGGACATCACACGCAGTAGTACCTACCTTACCAGCTGAGTCTTTTCACCTGTTCTTTTACTTTCTTTTTGTGGTTCTAATGATTGGGTTGAACTCAGGGCTTCCTATATACCAGACATGTGCTCTACCGCTGAGCCACACCCCCATTCCTCACTGGGGGATTCTAGTCAGGGAGGGGCTCTACCACTGAGCCATGCCCCTAACCCCCACGTCGTGGGTAGAGTTGAAGCAAGTGCTCTACCACTGAGCTACATTTTCCAGACTTCTTTTTAGTTTTTTTTTTTTTATTTTGAGATAGGCTCTAGATTATCCAGAATGACCTTCAACTCACAAACCTCCTCACCTTAGTCTTCAGAGCAGCTGGAATTACAAGCCAGTGCTTTCCTGCCAAGCCTGGGGATGGCCTCTTGATACAAGGGAAACTCCATGGCTAGCTTCCTGTCTGGAACCTCTCTAGTACCTCCCTTTGTAGAGAGTTGTCATTACAGTTTGCTTGCTTCCCCCACCTGTGTGTGTGTGTGTGTGTGTGTGTGTGCGCGCGTGCGCGCACGTGCCATGGCATGAGTATGGAGGTCAGAGAATAACTCTGGAGAGCTGATTGCCTCCCTTCTACCATGTGGGTCCTGAGGAGTGAACTCAGATCATCAAGCTTAGTAGGAAGTTTTATTTTTAATCTGCTGAGCCATCTCACCAGCTCTCTAGCTTTCTTCTGCCATATACTTGATTTCTGCCCTCCTATGCACTCCCGAGTCACGACATCTCTCCTTCTCCTCTTCTTCCCCTCTTTCTGCACTGAGCTTCCCTTGAACAGCTGCCCAATTCCCATGCTTGCATTAGATCCTGGGAATAGAGCAGGAAGCCCACATAGACAATTCCTTTTTCCTTAAACTTTTAAGACACAGAAACACATTTATTTAAAGGGGGAAATGCTGGACCAGCAAGATGGCTCAAGAAATTTCAAGTCAGGCATGGCTGTGCACGTCCTGTATATTAATATTCCGGAAGCTGGAGTATTTGAAATGTCCAGCCCAGCCTGGATTGCAGAGGGAGTTTCTGTTTTAAAAAACCCACCAAAGAAATCTGGGCTGGCAAGATGGCTCAGTGGGTAAGGGTGCTGGCCTCCTAACGTGACCACTGGAGTTCCATCCCTCAGTTCCACTGTGTGGAAGAAGAAAATTGACTCCTCAAGCTGTTCTTGGAATTCTTTGACCCCTACTTGTGCATCACCTCATAGGTACATACATGCACACACGCGTGCGCACACACACACCCTTAGTGAATAACTAATTAACTAAATAAATGTAATTAAAACAAACAATGGTGGTGGAAGGGACACAGCACAATGGGACACACCTGTAATCCAAGCACCAACAAGCATTAACAGGAGGGTCAGGATACCACAAGCCTGGACCACAGAGAGAGCTGCAGGCCTACCTACCCAATATGAGACCCTGTGTCTGAAAAGAAAAACAAGAAAAAAAAAACAAAATGAAACAAAACATAGCCAAGTTTCTCTCAGATGCAGAATCCATCTAATTATTGGGATTGTGGATGTACTCAAAGGTAGCTGCTTGTCTAGCATGTATGATGCCCTATGTTCAATCCCCAGCACCATGAAAACTGGGTACAGTGGCACACACCTGTAACGTTAACATTTGGTCGGTGGAAACAGGAGAATCAAGAGTTCAAGGTCATGCTGGGCTACTTACAGAGCTCAAGGTGAGCCTGGACTACATAAGACCCTGTCTCAAAAAAAGTATGCATGCATGCATGTATGTATGTATATATGCATGCATATGTGTGTATGTATGTATATATGGATGCATGTATATATGTGTGTGTATGCATGTATGTATGTATGTATGAATCATCCATACATCTATCATCCATGTAAGACATGAAGTCAGAAGAATCATTGGTATTGGGGAAGAAAGGGAGGGACAAGAGAGGGTAACTGAGGGTAAGTATGAACAGAGCACAACGGTATACTTATGAAAATGTCATAACAAGGGGCCAGTGAGATACCTCATCAGGTGAAGGCATTTGCCACTGAGCCTAACAACTCGCGTTTAATCCCTGGGACCCACACGGTGCAAGGAGAGAACCGCTATTCTCAGACCTCCACATGTGTGCTGTGGCACATATACCCACACACATTCTAGTATTCATGTGTGCACATGTGCACACACACAAAACGAATGAATGTATAAACTTAAAATGTTAAAAATTCATAATAAAACTCATTGTTTCACCTCCCCCCCAAAAAAATTAACG